ACAACATCATGTACAACATCATATAATCTATTTGTTAGAGAAATTGTGTGGTTTGTGTGCACCGCGGTGATTAGTCTAGACTCTAGAGCACTACCGCGGTCTTTCTTAGTCCTCAGTCCTGCTGCCGCCCGTCTTCTGCAGCTGTATTTTACATGCAACAGAACTGGTTTGATATCCCTGCGATCGCAGAGACATCGATTTCAAGTGTATAAAGTGTGTGGTGAGGGGTTTTACTGCCTTAAAACATATAGCTGATACTGAGCAGATTTTGCTTGTTGCAGCAATAAACAAGCGACCAGTGTGTTGTAGTCGCCTTGATGTGTGCCGAGACAGTCAAGGACGCGCAGTCAAGGCTGCGTGGAGTAACGACTGCCTATGCATTGTGCTTTTGTGATGGAAAAACGTGTAAAATGTCCACTGTTGGTGAGCGTGCAACAGTGCGGTGTGGGGAAGTGTTTGTGGAAGTGTTTGTGGAAGTGTACCGCGGCTACATTCGAGCTTTGAGGATTATTTTTCTTATTATTAATTCTGAAAATGTGCACAAGTGGGACAGAACTGCGCTGCATACGGGACAAAACCGGCCACTGAGGACAGAACCAGGATCCAAACTTCAGCACTGGAGAGATTTTGTTTGTCCGTATGTTTTCTCTTTGTTGGACTGCTGATGCCTGTGTGTGGTTCTAATTATTGCTAAGCGCATCTTAAACAGATTAATTAAACTGCATTTTACTCAATCACACTCAAATTAATTTGTCTCCGTCACAAAACCGTGGGATCCAGAGCTGTGTTGATGATATAAAGTTGTTTGTTGTATCGGTGCAATCCTCCAAAAAGGAATCTGCTGACTCATCGACAATGAAAACAGCCATTGACAAATTGACGTAGTTGAGTAATTGTTGCAGCCATAGTCCAAAGGCCAATCTTCTACCAACTGAGAATTGATGGTGCGGTTCAATATTTGACAATAATCTTCTGATCGTCAACTATTTTTGGAAGATTAAACTTGCATGTTGAATGTTTGTCGGAGATTTCCCTGAGCTTTGACTACAGATGATTTAATCTTCAAAACAGTATAACAGTATTAATGCAATGACAAATGCTAGATTCGAGTCACACAACATTACAGCAATGTTATTCATGCCCACATTTGTGAGGAACATAATGGCTCAGTGAGTGCAGCAGAAGTGTCAAAGAGAGCAGGCGGCTTCTTTAGACAAGGGAGACATCTTGTGGCCTGCACCAAAATGGATCTGCTTCAGCTCAGCCACTCTGTATGCAGCAAGAGTAATGCCAAAGCAGCAAGAATGGATTTTTGGCTAAGTATGTGCTCTGCAATGCCTCATGCAAAATGTATTAAAGAGTGGAAATATTGGCATGTTGCATATAAATGAAGTGTATGAAGGCGTTAGTGAGAGAATGAGTAGCTTCTGTTTTGCAGTGACTACAGGGATATGCTCATTATAAAGAAAATGATTAACCAAAATATACTCTGATCATTTCTAATACTTTCACGACTTACAAATAAGACTTTAATGGGTGAGAAATGATTGCAGCTTAGATGATAATGCAGAACAATATACTCAACAACTACAAATTGACATTGTCATCAGCCTGCACTGCTCTAGTGCTATGATCCGGTGCATCTCTCTCTTTTAGCGAGTATTTAATCTGTCCAATTTACACAAAATTAACTTTTTTGTTTTTTAAGAAAAGAACGATGTCTCTGCACAGTTTAATGCCCAAATGAAAACAAATGTTCCTAACCCTAATCCAGGCTTAAAAATAGGTTTTCTCATCTCCCTGGACAGCCATAATCTTAAAACATCCATCCATCCATCCATCCATTTTCTACCCTTTAATCCATTTCTGGGTCAGGGGGGTGGCAATCAGAGATGCCACCCAAGTCTCATAGCACCAGCCTATCTTAAAACATGTAGTACAGTATTCTTTAGTTTATCGATAAATAAACGGTCATAGCTACAAAGTACATGTACAGCTCTGATCTATGGCTAGAATCTGGAACGATCTTCCAGAAAATGTGAGACAGGCCTCTTCTGTGACAATGGCTAAAAACAGTTATGTTTAGCTATGCATACAACTGAGGGATTTTATTTTTTCATATTTCTTTATGATTTGAATGCCTTGTGTGATTGTCTCTATCTTGTTTTGTTCTGCACTTTGAGTTGCCTTGTCCATGAATTGTGCAATACAAATAAACTTGCCACAACGCAATCTACTTCCATGGTGGGTCTCACAGCACATGCCCCTAATAATGCACCATCTGGCTGCATGCTGACACTTTAGACGCAGCTCACACGCTTCCGGCTACACCTGCTCCCCCCCCCACTCCCAATATCCCATCAACAGCAAATTCTGTTGAAAAATAAATATATACAACGACACGTCCGTCAAGCTTTGAGCGTGCAACCCAGCAGTCACACTTTGATAAACCGGCTCCTCAAATTTCTACGGATAATCTGGACATTTTCAGTGCGCTCTCATCTTGTTTGCTCAGCTGGAGGCATTCGGTATCCGCCACTTGAGCTCAATTTTTGCCGCTCTCCCTAGAAAAGTAAAGCAACGCCAGCATTTGCCAAGGGTAGAAGTGGCATAGAGGATGTTGCAATTCGTCCAACAAATCCATAGAAATTGCAGGTTTGAATTTGAACACGGCAGATTATTCACGACCATTTCAAATCATCAGAATCCAAAAAAAAGTAATTTACAGTTTCCGATGTGTCATGGTGGTTTCCCCCTGAGAAAGGTGACGCATGTCTCATGTCGCTTGAAAGAAGATATTTGAGTGAACAAGAGAGCATATAGAGAAGGGCTATTAGTCATCGATATAGACATTTGAGATCAAGACAGCATGAGTTTGAGACGAGAGATTTTTGTTTGTATTTTTAAACATCACTTGGTACCTTTCATTTAAAATCTATTTTGTTTTTTAAATTGTGTATTGATTGGGGTTTGGTGTTCACGAATTCCAACAGTTACTAAGGACGCCACAATCCTGTTTTTTTGGTTCCCGATCCAATATCATATACTTTCATCTTAATTTAATTTAATTTAATTTAATTCCTGACATTGATGCAGTACTGATATCCGGCTGGTACCAATAATACTTAATGAAAACGTAGAACAAATGTAAAAGCATTTAGACAACATTTTTATGCTTTTAAAATTATTTCTACAGTTGTGCTGGGAGCCTCTTGAGATGATATGTATCTCAATTTAGGGGACTTTCAATTCGATACAATATTTTCCAAAACGATACAATGTGGTTCAGAAAGAAAAATATTTTTTGCCTCTTATCTGACCCAATTGCTGCTTTAGAGATATACAAAAAATATATAACTTTTGCCTCCTCAACTAAATATTTAAAAACTGAAAAGGGAAAATAATATCTAAATACAACGGCCAATTTTCAGTCCAAAAATCTAAACATTGATATTTTTTAGTACACCCTCATTGTACAGTTATGCCAAGCTGAAGTTAATTCCAAATGAATTAAATGTGTCTTTGATCTCCACACCAAAAAGGAGGAACGTCAAACCTATCCAAAACCACATTTTTCTTTTTAGATTCTTTTAGATTTGGGCTCATGCCAGGAGCCAACGATAATTTATGGCATTACATTACGGCGTGATCATTTTTGGACACCAGCCCCATTGGGAGTCTCAACCTAACAAGCTCATTATCTTAAGAGGTTCTGTCAACTGGCACCTTCAATATGTGTTTGTGCTACTATCAGCTGAGCAAAGTGCAAGTCAGCAAAAGCGGCCTGCCCCATGAATATCTTGAGTATTCCTCCAGCAGGGCCATTGATCCTCATGCCAATAGTGCACTTACAGTAACACCAGCCGGCTCCCTATACACTGAGTAATCACCCCAACACATTTGCCGTTATGTGAGCAGCCACCTCCGCCCGCTTCTGTGCATTTTCATTGTTTACATTGAGGTAAGGTTCACTTCTTGTTGTTCTCTTTTTCGCGCACGTCTTTCGTCTCTTCTAATGCTCAATTACAACAGAGCTCTGGCTGGATTCCAAAGTGGGGACAGAGCGACAGTAGTGAGCCCCGGCCCCTTCCATAATCTGAACCACGCACATCCCCCCTCCCCCCCTCCCCAACTACCTCCCTCCCCTCACGGACGGCCTTTGTCTCCACTTTACCTCAGCTTTGGTTTGTCCTTCAACTTCTGTCTCTTTGATAACTTGAACTGCTCTCCATAGATTTCTCTCACTGTCTTAGAAAACTTTTTAACTATCGAGCCAAATCCAAGGAAGTTTTCTATTTGCTGTGCTGTTCTCGCACTGAATAGATAACAGTGTGTATTCTGTAAGACAACCACGGTATGAGGGTTGGAATAAAATTATACACACACTAAGAGAGCCCAAACTTTGTAGGCTTAAAAAAAACTATGGCTTAGTTCTTCCTGCAATATCTATATTGTGATATTGTCTTTGTAAATCCAAACATGATCCTGCCTCCTTGGCCACAAGTGATCAGTATCGCACTTGCAAAAACCATTGATATAAGTGGAAAGATTTTGGTAAACAGAGAAATGTGTTTGCAAACTGTCTGCATCACACATCAGCATCAGTCCAATCAGAAAACTAAGCCAACGTTTGGCTCCAACAGAACCTCAGCTTCTGTGTCCATGTGCCAACCCCAGTTTGTTCCCTCTCCGTTCATCAGCTTTGTAGGACCGTTTGCACAATCATTCAACAATTCCTTAAATACAATTTTTTTTATCATTTATGCTTATAATGAAAAGAAGAATTATATGCTGAGAGGATAGACATTTTAATCTGATATAATGCAAGTATAATGTGTCATTGAAAACCTCTCCACTCTGGACAAATGCACAGTATTGTTTGAAATCTGAAATCTTTTAAAATCCTTCATACTGCCCCTTTAAAATCGGTATCGGAAAATATAAGTTATCTGTCAACACATTGCAATGCTCTTGAACAACAAACACAAAAACTGTAGCTCTCATCTCTCAACGCCTCTTTCCACGTAACCTCTCGACACCAGACGAGCCAGACTTCCTGCTTTACTATTTTTCTCTTGTCGCTGAAGACAGACAGTGCAGTGCAGAGGACCTCATGCACTGTTGCGTTGCCATGTTTTATTAACACTATACAGGGCTTGTGACTTTAGCTAAGAGACCAACAGGAAGTGCCATCCCCACACATAAGATAAGGAAAGATATGTGGGAATGTGTGGGGGCTGCCGGAGCATGGCGCCGGTGATCGATTGAAAGTGTATTACTCCATCTTCAGCATTCAGACCACACAAACTCACTGACACTGATGATTTATTTGGTACGAAGCAGTCTCCCAGGTTTAGTACAGAGCAGCAGCAAAGTGAAGGGCTTTCTTAGCATTAATGAGACAATCAATCTCTCACTAAGACAAATGCATCTGATAAAAAGCCAATGGGATGTGGTTGCTTTTACAATTGGAATAGTAGCAAGTTAAATCAACAACATCATATTCTATTATATTTTCTACTCTTTGACTTCCATTTTGAGGCTTGTAACGTTGTTCAGACTGTGACAACATATGGCATCCTTAGCCACACCCCTTTAAAGAATGATGGGCTTTTCATGAATCACTGTATACGTTGTTAAGTGCAGGAGGCTTATAATCAATTGACATTAGTTAGAGTTGTGGCCTGTTGGTTTGACAGAGTCTACAGCAGTATTCCACTTGCTAGGAAACAACGGGCAATTATTTGACATTGGCTCAACTTGTCACATTCAGACATATTATAGAAATCTGACCCCTCCTCTCGGAGCGGATACTTGATCCATTCACATAGATGTACTTTTTCTGTGCTGTTTTAGCGGATGTTCGGCCATTGTGTCTTGTCTTTCATCCTTGCACCTAACGGCACATTGGTTTTCTAGAGGTTTATCTTGCCGCATACCAGCTAATTGCTCTGGGACAAACTTTTGTCATGCACTGACGACATTGTAATGCTAGAATAATCAACAACGTGGTGAATGAATGAATGAAATATTTATTTCAAAACCTGCACACATAATTTGTCCGGAAACAAGAAAACAAAAGCAAAAACACGTTCACAGCAGTCACAGCAGTGGCGGTGGGTCAGGCTCAAAAATGTCCAAAATGACGTGCGCTGATATGTTTGCAATACCACACCGGCCGATGGCAGTGGACCCGGAATAAGAATTATTCAATGCTAATGTATGTATCTTCTTACCTCTCAAAAACGGGTTTACAGTTAAGTATGGTCCAAAATTTGGCTAATGGCCCAACGCTATGTTCCACATATCTGAGGGGAATCTATTTTTCTGGACCTGTCTAGTTTAGTTTGTCCTGTTTAGTAACCCTAACCCAGTCCATGGGTCACAGACGAGGGCATAGCTCTTTCTGCAAACTGGTTGCCCGTGCACCTAGCCGAGTTACCAACAGTAAAGGGGGCTATAGAATCTTCTTTATTTGCTGCATCAGCTGCATGATAAAGAAACTCATATGCCATGGGCTAATATCCATAACGAGCAATTGCACACTCAATAAGTGGTTTTGATCACTAGGACATAAGCAGGGATTTATAATGCTAGAGGGATTGTGGTTAAGACACGAAGAAGAAATTACTACATGCTTCGACGTATGAGAATTTCTGCAAGAGTGATGAAATAATTTATCCCTGTGCCACAGTGAACTCTCAATGACACAAACAAGTTTAGCAAATAATTAGTACAACATTTGCACCTATAAAAGTTTATTAGAGCAGCATAAGCGCCAATTTTATGCATCTACCATCTGCTAGTCCTCTAATATTACACTGCAATCAACCCAAAAATATTTGATAACTTTGAGCAGAGGAAATAATTACACTTGGGAGCCTTATATTTCACTGATATTTTCTAATATCATGTAGCCATATTCAGCTCATTAGCCAAAACATCTGCTTCTTCTTGCGTTGAAGTCTTGCAAAAAGCCTCTGCATCGATTCTTTGTCTACATCAAAAACAAATCCCTCACACAAAAACGCAGTCCAATAATTAATTCCAGTAATTTTTATTTCAGGGCAGGTTTTGAGCAGTGGCCTCAGATCAATATAATGAATCATTAACATAAGTGCGAGAAAATTGTTGATTTTGTTGTAACCTGCAAGTCCCAAGTGTTACTTCCTTAATGAACGAGATGCAAAATGTGAACAACCTATTGGTAAAATGCAAATTAATGTGTGATGCATTCATTATTGACTATAAAGATGTCACAATTCTTCAAAATGTTGTGACCCCTTAATGACGGCGTTTCCAAACTGTGTGTATGATTGGCACCAGGATCAAAATGGGCAACTTCTCAACTTCAACATATCTGGGTATTGGCTGGGTATCGTTCAGAGCCTGCTAATACAATATCTTGATATGAATGACGTCAATATGATACATAAATATTTATTTATTTATTTTATTTATTGATTTATTTGATAGGGACAAGTGTACACAATCAACATGTGAAACACTACAACATTTATAGCCAAGGCTAGTTTGCAATGTCCGTCCCTAGGAGGGCTTCTAACACAATTAAAACACATTATACATTATAAAATTCACATTATACAAAAGCAGATAGATGTTCTCCAACTCATTGATGCTCACACACCTGGTTTGTTTTAAAAAATCGCTTTAGTTCATGTTGAAAACCAGCCCAGTTAGAGTTCAGTTTTAGCTGAGGGCTTAAAGAGTTCCAGAGCTTTGCCCCCTTGACCGAGAAGACCGACTGTCCGAATGTGGTTCTCCTGTTGATAAATATGGACATTTATCAACATTGATCATCTGCCCCAATCTGACCAATACCTATGGGTTTTCTGTTTTCTTTCGTGTTTGAACGATTTGATTCTCTGATCTGTGTTGGCGAATTCAATGGATGTGGTAAGTCCTCCAAGATACTGTAACTAATGTTGTGATAGAGAGAGCGAGAGAGAGCGTAGGAGTAGTCAACAAGTAAGCTGGATAGTTAGTACGAATTCAATGGATGTGGTAAGTCCTCCAAGATACTGTAACTAATGTTGTGATAGAAAGAGCGAGAGAGAGAGAGGGAGGGAGTAGGAGTAGTCAACAAGTAAGCTGGATAGTTAGTGCATTATTCATATTATTCCATGGGCTATGTCTGTAAGAATGATTGTTTATATTGTCTGTTCGGAGTTGCTTCGTCAAGTGCATAATGGTGGCTCATTATATCATGAGCTGCCACACAGTCAGATTGTCAGGGCGGTGAGGGGGATCCAGCCAGTCCCATGAATATTTAATGAGTCGCCTCTATACTTAGGCCCACAGAGCATCTCCAGTTTCTGACATTTAGCTGAAATTTGCCCTTTGAGTATGGCCACGAGAATGCCCAAGGTCACCTGATGGATCACTGCCATAGCAAATCTGCCAGGACTTACTTGTCAGAATTTCAAAGCTATTCCACACCAAATAAGATGTCAGTTTTGTGTGTTACATCAAACCGAATTTGGAGATGTCTTTACATGTTGTGAAAAATCGATAACTTTCTTTTGGAAATCAGACAGCTTTTAAGACTCAAAAGTACTGCCTGGTGTCGAAGTGGCAAAACACAAGCAGATATGCCACACCCACTGAGTTTGATAAGGATAAAGTATGCCATAATAGGCCAAACTGAATCACTGCTATGCTAAGACTTAACAATCGGCACAGCTGCGGCATGACATTACCATCACGCTACTATTCTTTCATCACTCAAATCAATGGTGCATTTTATTGAAACACAATCCTTGCCTGTCTCTGCTGCAGCCTCCAGATTGAGTTCCTTCCTTGTTTTTGCTGATTTCATTATAGGGTTACATGACTTCTATTCTGACTAAATTGAGTCAAAGAAAAAAACGGAAGCTTAACACAGTTGTTGGTAATACAAACCCAATGTGAAAATGAAAGTGACAAATGACAGGAACATTAGATATCATTGGCGTTAAAAAGTAAGCATTGGCATTTCACAAGAGTTTCCAAAACCGAAATTCAGTGGCTCTTGAAAACACCATATGCTCTCTTCATAATGTATGATGTGTGATGTCAGAGGAGATTCACTCAACCATATGGCACAAATCTGAGCACCATTTTAATAAAGTAACCACACTTGTCGGAAGGATTACAATGAATTTGAGATCAATCCCAACAAAGAGATGGCGAATAGAACACACTGTAAACAGAGGAGACACGGCAAAGACAAGAGGTCTTATTGTGAGCTTCTGCAGCTCTTGTAAACAGAGATAAAGTGCATCAGTATTCCTCTACGATGTTCCCTGTCTTCCTCGCGAACACGGTTATATATTCTAAGGGTGTTGTCATCGTTCACTACTATCGTCTTGTAAGGGTATATTTTACATGGCATTACTAAAGTGGAATGCAACAAAGGCATAAATACCAACTGATTGTTAGTTACTTCAGATGGAAATATCTTGTGCTGACTCATTCTGATTTGCTGCAGTTTTTGTAGTAGCCAACCAGATTCAGAAATGTTCAAGAGCTTTCTACAGCCCAACAACTTTTAAACTGACATACATGATGTTACATATTCAAAAAAACTCGCCAATGCGCAACATGGAACCTTAGACACACTTTAATTGCATTAAGGGTCTTTATCAACATTGGTCATCTGCCATGTGTTTTTAAATCATTGCATTTCTTGTGTTTTAACAGTTTAATTCTCTGATTTGTGTTGGCAAACTCAACAATTTTGTTATGTCCTCCGAGATAACTACTGTTGTGATTTAGGGCTGTACAAAAATACATTGAATTTATTTGAAAATACTTACCGTGGTGAAATTCTCCGGGCCACAATCCTTCCCTCGATATTTGCAGTCTAATAACATCTCCTCTATGTTGTGACTCGTTCTCTGTACAAACTCCAGCATGTTAAACGTCTTGCTCGGGAAAAACTTTGTGTTGTCGGTCGGTTGCCCCACTGCGGCCATGAAGTCATCGAAATCTCCTTGCTCCACGCCCAAGAGCCCCGCCATCCAAAACAGATCATTCCGACGGATTTGGGATTTACGAAAACTGTTGTAGTTGCAAAGCGTAATTGCCGGGAAGTACATCTCGGGGCTGTCCATTTCGTCCAGAATGGTGACATGAGGATATTGGTAGTATTCAATAACACGGTCAGCGACTTGTAATAGAAAGATGGACAGGGATGTGCTGAAGGCTGCAGCCCAAAGCAGACGCCGAAAGGTCACTCCACCGGGCAGAAATATATGGCTAAGGCCGTGAAGGGTGCAGTTTGCCCCAAAGACGGTGATATCGGACGGAGGGCGAGGGGCTTCTTCTTCAGGGACTCCCATGTTGAAAGAGTTGTCCGGAAGAGATGGGTGAGGTCTTTCAGGGGTGGTGGCCTTCAGACGAATGGAGCGAGCGTCTGTAGACCAGGACTACATACAGGGGAGGCTGCACAAGACAGGGTCCAGTTTCAACTTCACACCCATGAGACAGAAGGGGTGGGTGGGGGTCGGTGTTATCTGCTGCTGAGAAGCATAGGCAGGGATTTTTGATCAAGCATAACAGTTCAGAAAGGGCGTTCAAATGATCAGGTTACTTTTGGGAAACAAAGATTTCTCTGAGGTTGTTAGAATGGGGACGGCTTTCTATGTGGACTTATATGAGGTGAAGTAGAAAAAAAAAACAATAATGAAATGGAGTAAAATAAATAAATAAAGATTAAGATCCTTTATCTTTATTGGTCCCACAGCGGGGATATTTCAGTGTTGCATCTCAAGTTACAGAACAGTAGGAATGAGGAGCACACAGCACAAGATAAGTGAACAATAACGATACTAATTAAAACAAAACAAAATATCTTACTCTAGCATCAAAGAAACACGTACATAATCTCTATCTTTAACATAATAAAGAAGTATAATTTTTTTACATTTGGCCAAATAAGAGGCAAGTATAAAGTATTTTAATGCAAGCAATATGTAGTTATGTTAGCATCTGTACATGTTAGCAGCAGTATGTTTACATCTGTACATCAATCAATCAATCAATCAAATTTTATTTATAAAGCGCTTTTCATACAAAAAGTGTAACACAAAGTGCTTTACAGTTTAGTTAAAAACAATCCAACATGCCCAGCCCTAAACCCTCCTCCCCACAGACCCCCCAAAACCACATTTATAATTATATATACAATACACACACCCACACACACACACACACACACATATACACAAGTATAAAGTCATATCAGGTAAAATAGGTAAAACAATAAAAAGAAATGGGGCTGGGAGCAGATGTAACCGGCTGAAGAAGCGTCATCCAAGGAGCCATCTGCACCAGGAGCAGAGAGCCGGCTGCAGCCACAGGCAACGACACAGGACCCAGAGGAGAGAGGGGCCCCAGACCCCACCAGGCCCAGGACTCAGACCCCATAGGACCCAGAGGAGAGAGGAGGCCCCAGACCCCCACCGGATCCAAGAGCCAGTCCCCCGAAGCCACAGCAGACCCCAGCTCTCAGTGCAGAGGGCTCCTCCAGAGGAAACACTGGGGACACTAAAACAATACAATAATACAATAGAAAGTAGAACAATAAAATGTGAAAATACAAAGAAAAATGGCAGCTGCCTAATAATTGATAATAACAATAGTAAATGGGTAGATACAATAAATAATTAAAAATAGTAAATAATAAAAATAAATAAAAATATAATCCGTCTAAAAACATAAATAGATGTACTAAAAAGCAATAATAGATAATAAATACTAATCAAAAGCTGCTCTAAAAAGGTGCGTCTTGAGCCTACTCTTAAAAATATGAACGTTCTCTGCATAACATAATAAAGAAGTATAATTTTTTTACATTTGGCCAAATAAGAGGCAAGTATAAAGTATTTTAATGCAAGCAATATGTAGTTATGTTAGCATCTGTACATGTTAGCATCAGTATGTTTACATCTGTCAGCAGCAGTATGTTTACATCTGTACATGTTAGTATTTTGATTTTTGATATAAACGTAGAGGAAACAAGAGCTAATGAATGTTCAGTTTAACCTTTTATTTTAGAGAGAAACAGCAGACTCAAAAGCTGGAGGGTGTTGATATTCAGGTCGAGTAATATCTGACATTTTGAAAACACTTTGCATGCCACAAAATCCCAACCAGTTGACCTGTGAATACAGGCGTAACAATGCTTTACGCCATGATGCATTGAGGGTAAATGCATTTGAATGAAAATTGGAAAAACTTTCGGAAAATGGACATCATGAGGGGACTGCATGAAAATGTTTTTGTGTGACTACTGATGCTCATGAAAATAAATGGGTTACTGACATTACTCTGAAAGGCATTGGTAATGTAAGAGGCCATCAGATATTGGCTATAATGCATCATGACATTATTGTTTGGGAATCCAGAGTGAATTGTGGGTCCAGCGTCATAGATCAAACCGAATCATGGGATTTGAGAATTGTTTATGTTATCATATGTTACATTATTGAAGTGTATTTTGTATGTTATGTTCTTTCTGTAGAGAAATGGTACTGACCTCCTGCTCCAAGAACATTTTCTTCCTTACGAGGGAAATAAATAAAAACATGAACCTGCTGCAGAATCTAAAGAAACCTACGTGAAGAGCATTACCAAGCACATTACACTCACGCAACTCTTCAGCAGTTAGTTTCATGCTTTTTATTCACTTTTCACACAATTAATTACAACAGAAAATCAAGTTGATTGAATTTAAAGGGTGTTTTTTGTTGATATTTTCATAAAGTCATTTTGATTTGAAATTGATAGAATTGGAACTAGAAGCGACATGAATACTAATTGAATACCGTTTGGAGATAAATATATTTTATGCATCACATTTGGAGTGAGGCTCCTGTTTCCTCTTATCTGCACCTGCTGCTGTCTGCATAGCTCCAGGTGAAAATTTAACCTGAGAATCCACAGAATAATTCGGCTCACCAGATTCTGTGGAATATGTCTGCAGTATATCTGTGAATTTGGGTTGAGCAGACAATTAAAGACGCTGTGCGCGTATTTAGATTGTGAGCCTAATCAATATTCCGGTCATTTCCCTTTTTGAACTTCTTTTTACACGTTTCCTCCATAAGCTGTTGGTCTGGATGCACAATGTCAACTGTAGACTGTGCAATTGCATCAACTCAAAAACAATTGTGAATATTTCTATTATAAATTATAGAGGAAGCCTGAACTGAAAAATTTTAATGGCAGCAGTGAAAATAGAGCTTTTATATTATTAGGAGTATATTATCATGAAACTATAATAACATATAATTTTGTTTGCTGATGAGTCCTGATAAAGCTGCAGCCCCACTGTTGCTTGTGACATCTATTATTCATGGTCTCCTCTGCATCTGTCTCTGATCATAGACTAAAGGGGAACCTTCTCCACTCTCCTGCGGGTTATTTGAGGGTACTGCGTGAGAATGTTTTTGTGTGATGACCGGAGCCCAAGTTTTGTTACAGCAATTTGAATAAAGATCCGAGACAACAGGTGTCTTTTGTGCAATTTATTTAAGTCATGAAAGAGATATTTTCTTATCTTTTACACAGATTCCGTGGCAGCGGCCATCCGCAAACCTGAACGATCCTCAAGTTCATCTTCCCAGAACAAAGGATATCATAGATTTTAACATCCCAGAAGAAATGGGAGGGGAGAGAGGAAGAGTGAGAGTTTGGAGAGGGGTATGGGGGGGATAGGAGATTGAACAGACTCGTATCAATCATGTCATGACAAAACGTAGATACATCAAAACACTCCCGTGCAAAAGGCTCCAGTGCTTATATTTATTTATTTATTGATCTTTTTTTAACCAAGAAGGTTTTAGTGGTTAGGGGCGACAGTAGCTCAGTTGGTAGAGCGTTGGCCTTTGGGCCTGAAGGTCGTGGGTTCAAGCCCACCATAAGACCTACTTCACAACTCCCACTGATAACTGCTGTTGTTGTGTCCTTGGGCAAGACACTTAACCCCACTTTGCCTGAAGCTCCCACTGAAAGATCTCAGCTCCTGTGGACTCACCACCTGCAGGAGGATCAGTGAGGGGCTGGTGCTCTGTGTACTGGGTGCAGCTCTGACTGCCACCCCCCTGACCCAGAAATGGATTAAGGGGAAGAAGATGGATGGATGGATGGAACTCGGAGCACCTGGAGGAAATTGGATGCAGACACAGGGAGAACATACAAACTCCACTCAGAAAGGCTCACCACTCAGCCGTGTATTTTCAATGTGTTTTAATAAAGTAAAAAAGACCCTCTGTTGATCCTTACAAAGACACTAAACTCTGTATTTTTCATTTTTCATGTTATTGATCTAAAATAAAATATAATGTGTGGTTATCTGTGTTTAAAGCCCTCCTAGGGACAGACATCAAATTAGCCTTGGCTATAAAGGTTAGTGTTTCACATTAGGGCTGAAACAACTAATCACTTAATCAACGACTAATCGATTATTGAAATAGTCGACAACTATTTTAGTAATCGATTAATCGTTTTCTGGTTCACACGGACTCAAACAGAGCAAAAATGACATGAAAATGTAGTATTTTTGATTAAAACCGACTTTGTTTTTATAATTTCATGAATATCTGTCTGTCTCATCCAATCAGATAGCAGAATTAGCACAAAGAGCCTGTTACAAACATTTACTTTAAGTTTAGGCCATCAATACGTCCTCGAGTGTTGCCACTTTAGCTTTTTGTGATTAAAAAAATATTTTTTTCTACACAATTCACAGCCAAGCGATTACTTGATTAATTGTAAAAATAATCGTTAGTTGCAGCTCTATTTCACATGTTGATTGAGTACACTTGTCTCTAACAAATTAATCAATAAATAAATCAATTAGCATGACATTCATCCATCCATCCATTTTCATCCCCTTTGTCCATTTAGAATGACATTTTCCTGCCTAATTGTTATCAGTTCAAAACATAAACTTTTTATTATATGGAGCAATTCTGTTTCTATTAACCCAAAATCTGTTCATTAATAGTGCTAAGTAATCTTTATTTTTTTATAGCACATTTTATTACAGATCAAGGTCACCCAAAGCGCTTTACAATGTTGGGAGTTCAGATACTGTTTCATTCTCTCCACACGGTGATGATAGAAGCGAGACGCCGAACACACTGGACCATCAAGCCCCCGACCAACACCATCCATTCACTCACTCATTACATTCAGACCTATTGTGCATGTTTTTTTTAGAAGTAGGGGAAACCGGAGCACCTGGAGGAAACTTACGCAGACACAGAGAGAACATGCAAACTCCAGTCAGAAAGGCCTTTTTCCGACCGGTATTCAAACCCAGTCCCTTCTTGCT